CTCTGTGATAAATAGGGGTATTGGCCTCAAGATCACTCTCCACATCTGCACCCATGATAGTAGTGCATGCTGCAGCCTAGAAGTAGTAGTGAGACTTGTAGATATTCATGATCTAAAGAAAAATACCTTAATAGGCTTCTGGCACTGCATAAACCTGGTGAAGAAAGTAAGGTGATCCACTAAGTTACAGTACTTTCATCCCCATCATGAACTGCTGCAGGAGTCTCATTCCCAACCATATGACATTCAGTCCTGTCCTGTGGCATAGTGCATTCCAGATCATCCTTGGCCACAGAAATTGCTGAGCTGACACTGGTGGCTTTAGTGGTCAAGGAGGGGACAGTAGAAGGAGGTGGGTTGGATGTGCTATTAGTCTGAATCTGGAACCCAATGGTGCAGAATTATGAGGGGTCTGATTTCCAGCAGATTTGATGCCACTGGCCTAGTTGTTGATGCAGCCTGCCAAAACAGCCCTATTGTTTGGGGTGCTAACATTCTGGGTGAGGTGTAGCCAAAATAAAGTTGATTCAGTGAGTGGTAGAAGCATTGTGTGAGAGAAAAATACAACATACTGGGACTTCCCTTGGCTGAGTGCACATGTCAATGTTGCCACATCATCCTGCAGCAATTCCATTGCATTGTGTTGTCTCAATGCATGGCTAGCAGTAACCTGGACCTAACTTAGTGGCTTATCCCTTGTGGCCACACAGTCATTGGCAGTCACATGGTAAGCTTCAGCTTCTATATTTGCAACTGTTGATCAGTTATTGATTATTAGCAAGCACATTATAAAATCTTGTCCTCACCCTCACCATGAGGCAGGCCACATATATTCATAGGTCTCCCTTGCCTGCCTCTCAGCTTTGGTTTCAGTTTCACAGGCTTCACTTTGACAGTGTCTTGTGTCACCTGCTCAACTTCCATGGCCACCTCCATCTCACTGATCCAATCTCAGCCCTGTTGAATCTTAAGTGCTTTACACACACATTGTCAGTTTGCTTGAGGTGTGTTGTTTAACCCGCGCATTGAGAACAATCTGTCTGGGGTGCAGATTAGCTTTTGCTCTTTGTGGATGTTGACCTCTAGAAGAATTGTCAGTTGACATGGTACCTGTGGTGCAAGGTGGGAGATGGAGACAGGGACACATTTTCTGTACAAAGTTCTGCTTACTTGAAGCCAAATTACCCATGCAGTTCTAATGTGGTACCTTACATTGAAAATGTCCACACACCTGATGTTCAACATGCTATGACACCCTTGTACCAAACCAAGGTGTAACTGCTGGTTCAGAAATCTTTCAGGTCTTACTCAACACAAACACACACATCACCCCAGTTTTGGCTGTCTTCCCCAAAGTTCCACCATCAGTGCAGGGTTGCCTGACCATTTAGGACAAGACCATGATGGAATGGAGGACCATGATGCAGACATGATTGCCCCCAGCAGCCAAATATGATGTTCCAGTTCATGGTGACCAAGAACTGAGTGATAGCAATGACTCATCAGTTTGGGAACATCAAAATCTAAGGCTGGGATTTGTTGGTCCTGGGGATAGGATTTATTGCAATTATCATTCAAGTCTAAACAGTAATTTGTGTATGCTATGGTGACTATCTCAGCTAATATCTCATTCATAGCATGAAGATGTGATGCCAATGGTCAGTTTCTGTCAGATGATGCACTACCACTGCCACCTCCAGAGAAATTACCTGATGACTGGACCTGTTATGTTTCACCCTTGTTTTCCCTTGGTTTGCCTCATGTTTCTTCTGTTGGACTCATTTTCCTTTCATGGGCATCTTCTCTCTGATTTGATGACCTTCTATTTCCACCACTAGCATTAACATCTTGTAACATGCTTGGGACATGTGTTGTCATTGTTTAACCAATGGCATAGTCACCTCATTACATGTGGATGCCTCATGGTCTGTCCCTTTGTAGTATTTAGTCTGCCAGCTCAAGTCCTGGAGTGCCCAGACTTGAGCTGCTCAATCATATGCAGTGTTCCTCGGAACTTCACCCTCAGCATCCCTAACCCAGACCACTCTTACTGGCATTGCCAAATCCTCTGTCATTTACAGAGGTTACCTTAGCCATTTGCTAGGTAGACACCATAGTCTGTGACTGAGCTCAACCTATGCCTCGACTTCAGTCTTAGCATAACAGGACCACATACCAAAACTGGCTAGAATTGAGCTCACAGATTTCCTCTTTAGGCAAGCTGAAATGCCTGCCAAGAAGATCAACACATTGCATGAAATCTGGGCTGCCTCATTGCTTGCATTATGTGGGGAACTGCTGTTCACCAACCAAAAAGACCTTTATTGTGTTATTGATAGCACATCTATTGGCAAGGTCAAGTGGGAGAGCTTCAAAGTGTAGTATGCCAACAATGGAGAAGGACAAGACAACAATATGGCTCCTTGGATGCGCAACAGTTATGACATGTGGTATTGAGATCCACATAAACTCATTCACAACATCCTTGCTCACACTGATTTAATAGGTCAAATTGACTACATACCATACCAGGAGTATGATGCTACAAAAAACCAAAGGCACTGGGAAGATTTTATGTTGGGAGCCTGGGCATGGAACAAGGTAGTTAAGGAGTGTCTACTCCAGCTTGAAACTTGATGCTAATTTTCAAGTTTCTAGGACAGAACCATCAGCAAGGAACCAGCAACTGCTGGTGTGACACTAATTCCAGTCATTCTTGGTAGTGATAAGACAGTGGTATCAATAGCAACCAGCCAGACCAACTACCATCCCTTATACCTTTCCATTGGAAATGTTTGGAACATTGTTCATTGTTCCCACTCCAATGTGGTAGTCCTCATCAGCTTCCTTGCAATGCCAAAGAGTAAGACCCCACCTTCTGGAGTTTGTATTACTGCTAACATTTTGCCTGCATTCTGAAACTGCCAAGAGGCAGCTTTCCATTCATTGTTGACCCACATCCTTTCTTCACTTCAACCTGCCATGATTGTCCCAGAAATGCTATGATGTGGTGACAGGTACTACTGGCGCATCATTTGTGCACTGGTGGTATCACACACCAAATGTGTTTGGTGATGTAGTCATGGATATTGTTGATGAATGGAGATGAAAGACTAGAGCCCTAATGCATAGAAAGACAGCCAGGAATGTGGCAGTCATCCTTCATACAAGAATGAGTTGTCAGTACCAAAGAAAAGAGAAGGAAATGAGTTAAGTGCCCATGTATGGCATTCCAGTTTTCAATGTATCTCCCCCATTTTTGTGGATACTAACACCATTCCCACTCTCACTTATAGTACTCAGCCACACCATCCTACCTTCCAAAATTGGGAAGGATCCTCACATTCTGCATGTTTCTACAGCACTCCCTCCAACAGATGCTCATTTTACTAATTCCTCTGATATGGCTGCCTCCACATCTATTGTTTTGCTTGTCCCCTTTGCTAGGGACCATGGCTATGTATATTTACCAGGAATTCCTACCAGCTTCCAGCTTTTGTCCTGAAGTGTCCTGGTACATCTCATCATTGCCTGCCCCCTCTCAGCCCATCCAGCTTGGACAATGTGTTCTATTTGTCAGTATGACATCCAGGAAGACATTCTTTGGTTGCCTCAGGTCTATCATTTAGTTAGAAAGGTCTTATGTGGTTGTTCCAGTCTCTCCAGTCCAAGAAGCATATAGATCCTTCCTCCCTGCAACATCTTCATACCAGTGTCATCCATCATTCTTCCAAAATTGTGACAGCTACTGTATAATCTACTGTTCTCCACTCTCCCTGATTGCATCCATGATGAGTATGATGCACATCTTGCCTTCTTGTTGCAAGATACAGCAGAAGATGCTCCCCCTTCATCCTCTCTTCCAACAGAGTCTCACAAACAGTCTGTGCAGTCCAACAGCAGACAAAGCAGAGAAAGCTTGTAAATGGCAGGGGGCAGGTGGAGTTGGTGCAGAGTGAGTGAATGACTGGTGGAGTAGGGTGTGGAGTGAGTAGGGACTTGGGAAAAATGTACAGTCATGACAATGTGCCAGGCTGCATCAGTTTCTAGCAGAGTTGAATGGGCATTGAAAGAGTGGAATAGGGGGATTAACTTCTTGGTGAGAATCTCCACTCTCTTCAGCTTTGTTCCATCCATCCAAGGAGGTGTGACAGAGCACTTTGCCAACAAATTGCACAAAGTCTGTGTCAACTGTTCCCAATTCCACTCCAACCTCTGAGGGAAGGTGGTCAGGAGGGCACACTTGTATATTATCTGATGTAGTTGTTTTGTATTCCATGCACTGGAACAGACCTATTGGAGTCTGGGAAAGATGATTTATGGACTCAAAACAAGTCCCAGGGTGGCCCAGTCAATGTGGACAGGGGCCTCAGTGCTGGACTGATGTTCATGGGTGTTTGCCCATGTTTGGCAGTGTTCATCATGTTGTATGGACCTGGAAATATCTCTATAAGGTCAATGGGAATGGCATCAGGGGGATGAACACCATCCCAAGTGTTTCAGCATCCTCTGAGGGAAGGTGGTCAGGAGGGCACACTTATATATTGTCTGATGTAGTTGTTTTGTATTCCATGCACTGTAACAGACCTATCAGGGTCTAGGAAAGATGAATTGTGGGCTCAAAATAGCTCCCAGGGTGGCCCATTATATTTGGACATCATCATGTTGTATGGACCTGGACATGTCTCTACAAGGTCAATGGATATGAGGTCTGGGGGATGAACACCATTTAAAGTAGTCTAGCATACTATGAGAGGGGGGGGTCCACATAGCCTTGATCAGACTATTAGATCACTAGGCCAATCACCCAATGTGAATATGAGTTGTCCTACCTACCTATCCATGACATCAGTAACATTTATGGCATAGTGTATGGTATGATTATCAGTGTATGGGACATGTGTTCCATATTTGCAGGTCACAGATCAAAGTTTGATCTGATCCTTTGATTGCATCATAACTCACCTCCACTACCACAGACCACTTGCATCCTACTTGAAATGGCATCACCACAGTTCCATATTACCACCATCCAGCTAATCTGCCTGAATCAAATGTTTCCTGTCAGCATGATCCAAGATTCCAGTGAAATTCCACATGCTGGTGGCATGAGGCAATGTCAGGGTACTATTTACCTAGCTCTGAATGACATGTATATCTTCTGTAACAGTGAATGGGTTCAATGGGAACCCAAAACTGCTCTTCATCTTAGTATTGTGGGGGATGATTGCATCATTGCACCTTTCCTCATCAATGGGATCTGGCTGCTGGTGAAGGATACATCCTATATCAACTACCTCATATCCATGGCAGAGGAATTTCACCAAATCAGATTCCAAGACCTACCAACAAATGCTGACACCCTGCAGCTCATGGGGATGTGATTTCCTGATCCCAAATCCCAGGTATGTGTGCAATCTACATAACTCTGAGAATACACACTGATGATAACAGGTTTTGGAGAAGCAGGGTGATGGTGTCATTGGCAGGGCCAAAAACCACCTGCAGAGGCTCCAGTCCCTGTGCAAGAAGCTGGTAGCTGATTGCAGAAGAGAAAGGCAACAGATGTGGGTGGGACTGGATCAGGGAAATGGGATGATGGGGCAGTCAAGGGTGCCCCCATTGCATCCACATCCCAAAGCAGAAAGGGGAAGGGAAAGGCACTTTGATTTCTTTGCTATTCTTCATGGTCCTGATTGTATTTATAGCTGAAGATGTTGAACCCATCACTGAGCAGGTTCCTTTCCTCAATCAAATCACTTGCCCATCAGATACAAAGGTGATTGATTGGGAATCATTAAATATCAGAACATATACTCCATGGTTCAGCAAAGTGGTATGTTGAATATAGGAATTGATAAATGACAACCATAGGATTATGATGCAATTGAGTACATGTCCAAGGCCACATGCATGACATGAATACCAGTATGGACATGGTTGGACAATGCTAGTTGAGCTGAAATGTGATGGGGACAAGGAATCACTTGCACAGCTAATTACCAACATCAGTGATTCATTGTCAAGGGGATGTGCAGTGTTGGTCAGGGGATGGAAGCCAAATCATCCACCCCTTGACTTCACTTGTGAAGACATAGGCTTCTTTCACCCCACAATATCACAGGAAGTTGTCAATCAAGGTATGGATGTCATGATATTGCTAAAATTCATGTCACTAAAAGGTAATTAGATGCATTTCAGGCAACTATCTGACAATGTGAATGCAAAGAGGATGACCATGAATGATGACCACCTCCCCCATTCTAGTAAGAACATAGGAAAAGCATATTATGGCATGCAGGTGGTCTTGGGTGATGTTAAATGACTTCATGGATGGGACCTACTGACACATGGGGGTTTCATCACATACCCTCACCACAATGTGGCAGGGCTATGCACATACATTACCATACAGTCTGGGAGCAAGATATGGGGTTATTTCAACACCCCTGGAAGTCAGGATGTGAGCAGGGAGAACCTTTTTGAGGCCTGGGATGATATTTTCAGACAACATCAACCTTATATTCCACAACCATCCTCTTGGGAACATTCACATTCAGCATGGAGATATTCTGTATGATTCTAATCCTGATTCCTGAGTGTTCTCTTATGATTCATGATGCTGGAACAGGATTCAGCCTCCCAGTGTGAGTCAAAGTGTGGTTCAGTGGTGACAACCAACCAAAACCAACACAAAAGACAATAAGAGTGAGTAGTGGTGTGCCTATGTGGTACCTATATGGTGGAACCTTATATTTGGGTGGGTTTTTGCAAGCTACAATACTCAAAGGCAAGTGCTGAGGGTTGGGGGTGCTCCTGATGAAGAGGGAGAAAAAATACAAGAGATTGCAATGGGGTAGACTGCTGTCAGCCTACAGAAGGATGGATGATGACTTAATTCAATGTTCTGAGCTGCACTGAGCTCAGGGAGGACTTGGAGCAAAGCTGATTGATGAGAGATGATAATAAGTGAAGTAGACAATATGTAGCTAGACCCTTAATAAAATCTTAACTATTGAAGCTGATGAATGATTTACTGAGAGATGATAAAAATGCAAGCAAGAGGGGCTCTCTGACATCATCATCTTTTTTTTTTTTTTCCAGCTCTCTAAGTACAGTGATTTATATACAGTACAGGGGTGTTGCCTATGGAAAACAAGGTGCAAACACTTGGTAAGTGATTGGTAAGTGATAAGCAAGGAATGTAAGTGGTGGGAAATCATCTTAGAAAGCATTGGTGAGCATTGGTAAGAATAAGTAAGCCAAAAAGCAAAGAATCAGTAAGCAAAGTCAAAAGATTGGTAAGTATTGGCAATAGGTGAGTCAAAGACAGTCAGATTGTCAAAGTATGAGTCAAGTAATGTCAGAAACTTGGAAAGTGCACTGGAATCACATTAGGGGGAGGCTGTGCATGTCACATCTTGAAGAGATTGCTTCTGGGCCAAAGTGGGATGACAGAGAGGCAGCACTGATCTGACGCTGATATAGTTCATCCAAAAGCAGACAGGGTGAGTCAGATGTCAACAGGGGTCAAGCTTTGGGGGTCTGTGGGGTGACAGGAGCATAGGGGATTGCAAATTTCCCCCCCTAACTGTCCTCTCAACAAAGCAAATAAAAACTTCATGAATGAGGCTCTGTTGGAAGAGAGGACAAAGGGGGAGTGTCTTCTGCTGTATCTTGCAATAAGGAGGCAAGATGTGCATCATACTTGTCATGGATGCAATCAGGGAGAGTGGAGAACAGTAGATTATATTGTGGCTGTCACAATTTTGGAAGAATGATGGATGAGATTGGTATGAAGACATTGCAGGGAGCAGGGAGGAAGGATCCATATGCTTCTTGGACTGGAGAGACTGAAATGACCACATGATACCTTTCTAACTGAATGACAGACCTGAGGCAACCAATGAATGTCCTCCTAGAGGTCATACTGACAAACAGAATGTGCTGTCCAAGCTGGATGGGCTGAGAGGGGGCAGATGAGGATGGGATATATCAGGATACTTCAGGAGAGAAGCTAGTAGGAACTCCTGGTAAAGATACATAGCAATGATCCCTAGCAAAGGGGACAAGTGAAATGATTGATATGGAGGCAGCCATATCAGAAGAATTAGCAAAATGAGCATCTTTTGGAGGGAGTGCTGTAGAAACATGTGGAGTGCACAGATCCTTCCCAATTTTGAAAGGTAGGAACATGTGGCTGAGCATTATAAGTGAGTGTGGGAATGGTGTCAGTATCTGCAGAAATGGTGGAGATATGTCAAAAACCAGAATGCCATACATAGGTGTTTAAGAATTTTTATTGGTGCTTAACCACTTCCTTCCTTTTTCTCTGGCACTGATGACTTGTTCTTGTGCAAAGGATGACTGCCAACACTCCTGGCTGTTATTCTATGCATGAGGGCTATATTCTTTATCTCCATTCATTAGCAGTATCCATGTCCACATCACCAAACACCTTTGGTGTGTGACACTGGGGCTAACCACATGGTTTACACCCCACAGAATGGCCTCACATCTGGGGGGCATTTCCTCTCATATGCCACCATGCATCTCACAGAGATTGCAATAAATGATGACTACTCAAAGATCCCTGAAGGTGAACAGACCATGTGTGGACTAGCAGGCACTAATGCAGTACATCCATCAATACATCACATCATCATATGGATGGTACTAGCACTTCCAAAGATGGTGATGGACAGAACCAGTATGTCATATGTCATATTTATAAAATACATGTTCCCAGCAAAGATTTCCCTCCACCAGCAACATTTTACTACAGGCCATTGATGGCCATGATATCATTCATAGAGAGCTAGGAAAGGAAGTATAAGTCAGCCAATGATGCAGATCATATGCCCACCATGGATGAGAAGGACAACAGTGAGGAAAGAGATGGCCAATGAGTTGGAAGCAGTGAAGAAAATAATCTTGCATCTGAAGAAAGCCCTTCAGGTAACAGATGCTGAAAAAGAACTGGTTCATGGTGGGATTGTGGACCAGTATGTGAACTCTTCACCATCTTCAATAAATACAAATCTGCACCGTGTATTATATTTAAATTTGATTGTTATTCCAAGATCAGGGGGTTTGAACACAGCACAGATAGGAATGGTCATATTGTGGTGTTCACTCATGTGCACCCATATTAGCAGGTGTTCTCCATATTTATGGACATTGATATGTCTATATCAGCTCAGAGAAATGGGATCTGGTGGTGTGAACATGATTCCAAGCAGTCCAGCATGGTTAGTGGTTTTGGTGCTGGATTGATGTTCACAGGTGTTTGCCTGTTTGGCAGTATTCATCATATTATACATACATGTCCAGGTCTCAATAAGGTCAGTGAAAAGAGTTCAAGTGGTATGAACACAGTGTTGAGTGGTCCAGCATGGTCTCAGGGGGGTGGTAAGGTGGCCACACTGGTATACCATCTGTGTAGTTTCCTTATATGCTATTCAGTACAATAGACATATCAGAATCTGGGAATGATGATTTGTGCAACCCAAAGGGGTCCTGCAGTGGCCCAGTCAATATGGACAGGGGCTTTGGTTCTGGAACAATGTTTGTTGGTGTTTGTCATGTTGTATGAACCTCTGAATGTCTAAATAAGGTCAATTGAAGTGGTTCCAGGGGGACACCATTTCAAGTGGTCCAGCATGCCCTGAGGGGGAATGGTCAGATGGGAACATTGGTATGTTCTCTGATGTATTTTATTTGTATTACCAGACATGCAATAGACCTAGGAGAGTCTAGGAAAGATGATTAATGCATTCCAAACAAGTCCCCAGGTGACCCAGTAGGGGCATCAGTGCTGGATTGATGTTCACAAGTTTTCACATGTGTTCATCAGTTTTCATCATGGTGTACAGACAAGTACATGTCCATACAAGGCCAGTGGAATTGGACCTGGGTGGATAAACACCATTCCAAGTGGTCCAGCATGCTCTGAGGCAGGGGTGGTTGGGTGGGCATACTGGTATACTATCCAATGTAGATTCTTTATTTCATTGTAATACATGCAGTACAATAGACATACCAGAATCTGGGAATGATGATGCTTGAAACATGTCCTGGGGTGTCCCAGCATTTGGACACAGTCTGGACAGGGGCTTTGGTAAGGGGTTGATGTTCACCAGTGTTCATCAGTGCTTTCTGTGGTTCCCCATATTTTATGGACCTGTAGTGATCTCCTTGAGTACAGGGGAAGAGGTTCCCATGGGACAAACACTATTTCAAATGGTGCAGCATGGTCTCAGTAGGGATGGTCAGGTAGGCACACTGATATGTTATCTGATGTATTTTACAGTATTTGTATTACATGAAATACAATTGACCTACCAGAGGCTGGGAGAGATGAACCATCTGCTCCAACATGAGTCACAGGGTGACACACACAATTTGGACAGGGGCTTTGGCACTGGATCAATGTTTGCAGGTGTTTGCAGGTGTTTGCAGTGTTTGCAGGTGTTTGCAGGTGTTTGCAGGTGTTTGCAGGTGTTTGCAGGTGTTTGCAGGTGTTCATTAGTGTTCATCATAGTGTATGGACCTGGAGACAGCTCTATAAGGACAATGTAAATGGACTCAGGGCAATGAACACCAGTCCAAGCAGTCCAGCATCCTCTAAGCCAGGGGCAGTCAGCAGGGCACAGTGGTATATCATCAGATGCAGTTTCATTGTATTACAAGTAATACCATAGACCTACAAGAGGTTGGGAAAGATGATCCATCTGCTCCCAAAATGAGTCACAGGGTGACACAGTCAATTTGGACAGGGGCTTTGGTGCTGGATTGATGTTCACAGGTGTTCACACCTGTTCATCTGTGTTCATCATAGTGTACAGACATGGACAGGTCCCTATAATGTCAATGGGAATTCTAGTGAGATGAACACCATTCCAAGTTGTCCAGCATCCTCTCTTAGGGGGGGGGGGGTCAGGCATGCACACTCATATATTGCTGAATTCATTTACTATGTATTCCACAGAATATAGTATACTATAAGAGTCTATAAAATATTACTTACAGGCACAAAGGAGCTGTTGTGCTGGATTGGTTTTTTTCAGGTGTTTTCCATATTGTACTGATGTCTTCACATTGTTACAAGCATAGGGGTATCTTCCAAAGAGGCAATGGTTGGATATGTTGCTTGTGTGGATGTAGAATAAGCATTAAACAGTGGCATATGTGGCATTGTATGTGGAGTTATGCTATGCAGTATATATTAGTGATTGCTCTGACCCATTTCTTGAACAGCATTGCAAGTGTGTCTGCCATCATTCCTCCAGTGTTGTTGATATTCCAGAATAGCCAAAAGCTTGTCATCAGAGTCCATTCCACCTTATTGACAAAATATCCCAGCCATAGTTTGGGGCTCATGCTATCTGGGGCTATGATCCTGATATCCATTTGACAAAACAATGCCATCAAAGGTCTTGTACCACCAACCCTTGTTTCTTGTGTGACAAGTCCTCCCCAGGCTTTTAGCATGAAGTCATTGAACTCATCCATGGCTCTCCATCTTGTTTTGATATCTCCCCTTTGTGGATTCACAATCTTTCTCCTCCATTCAGCAATGGTTAGTGACTCATCCTTCCTGTTGGTGTGATCCAGTTCTAAGTACAGTAATCATGACAAGAGTGCATTGTACCATATTTTGCCTGCTTCCTCCAATGACAGAAAACTTGTAACTTGGATTCCAGACCAACCACCATTGTTTAACCAATGTGTATGTGTGACAGACATGATCTTCCCTCCAAGTATTATTACCTGCTACTCTCCAAGGAGCACCAAGCTTGGGATATATTGTTGGGTAATCCATACCTCCTCCAAGTCCTTGTTTGTCTTATCCATGAGATGGGCCCATGTGCAGCTTGATTTTGGGGTGGTCAGAAGTATCACATGTTTTCTGCAGTTGCTGTGACTTCACTTCAGGATGTGGGCATCATTGATAGGGTCCCCATTGCTAATAATATGTATTTCCAGTACCACCCAGTTGTGAATCACTGAAATTGCCTCCAAGTGTGCCAAGGTCTCCCACTTGACTGCAGCAGTCCAAACCTGATCTGGTGGGGGCCAAAACTGTACTTGATGGCTGAGCAGTGCAAAGTGTTTTTTTTTTTTTTTTTTTTTTGTTTAGGTAGGAGGAAAACTCATAAGTGAGTACCAGTTGTCAACTCTGGTGATGTCAGGTTGGGCTACCCATGCTAGGGAAACAGCGTTGCACTCAAGGTGTCGAAGGGGCCTGACTGACTAAAGACCTCCTGGTCAATAACACAGACCCTGACAAGGGTACTGCTGACTGCACAGGGAGCCAATCCAGAGGGGTCAAAACAGCTGTATGCCACACTTCCTGGTGTGCCTTTGCCACCCTCTTTGGGGGATTACCTCCAATTTGTATACAAAGGTGTCAGGATTAAGTGTGGTGGCCAGCCAAATATCTATGCCAACGGAAACCTCCTGCAGCAGGGCCTAGACCAAACAACTCCCTCTAGTGCCCTGGGGTTGTACCCCCAGCTGTGCATACCTCTAAGTTTTCACTGATTGTTTTTAGTGTCAGCTCAGGGAAGCTTGACACCCATCCTTCAGATGGAGGGGGTGGACTAGTTTCACTTTGAACACCTGACAGGAATTTCACCCATATAACTCACTTCTTAGGCAGTGGGGCAGCCACCACACCAAGCCTCTGGACCTCGTCAAGGTCTAGTGAGGGGAAAGTCCATCTCCCACCAGAGGCAAAGTGATTTTCACATGTGTGCAGTTTGATCTCATTGAGGCCATATGGGTGTCTGTTGCACCTGAAGGCCATATCAGACCCACACCTTTGAGGTGCAATGTCATCACTCACTGGAAATCAATCATGTAGTCAATACCTCCAATTATACAGTCCATCCATATGAGTTCATTCCATTTCAATTGCTGGCTGTTCAGATTGAGTACAATGGTCTTGAAGTCTGCTAACTTCATGTACCTTGGCTTGAATGCATTACCATTGTTGTACTCTTCCATGTTGATTACCAACCCAAGCTGTGATGCATGCATCAGCAAACCAAACTGCACATGTCAGGGAAAAGGGGACCTACCCATTCACTGACTACCACCTTCACACCCTCTTTGCTTTCTGATAGTTTGTATACAAATTTGCTGAGCTCCTTGATAACCTCATATTGCTCAGGTTTTATACAGCAGGTTGCCCATCCTAGATCTTCCTTTGTCTCATTCTTTGATTTCACCTCATGGCTTGGGTCTGGGATGTAGAGTATATTAAGTGGATTATCTTTTGAAGTAGACCCCTTTGAATGAAATGGATATGGCAATGTGAATGAGAATGCTGATGGAGAGCTTGAAATACAGTTCTCAATGTCTCCTATTGCTGATGGAGATCTTGAGATCACCCCTGATCACCCAGTGGATGATAAAGGCCTAGAAGGCCAATATGTGCCACTATCATTGATAAGTGGACTTAGCCTGGATGGACCCACACCTGCCCATGATGCTTGATCTGGATGTGGAGCTCAATGCAGAGTATGTTGAGGTGTGGATGGATGGACTGGGATCATTCCAATAGGTTTCTGATCCTTGTGACACAGTCTCCCCATCTTCCATCACTATGTCTTCATCACCAGCAGTGGATTCTGGTCTGAGGATTGTTAACTACTGTGCTGAATTTTCTAGACATTGGGCCACTCACAGAGATGATAATTTGATCTCAGGAGCCATGGGTTGCCCAAGTCTTCAGAGCTCCCCTGCAGCTTTGGATATGGGGAGATAATTGAGAATGTCTTGCTGAGTAGCTTCTCACACCTTTCCAGATTTCTTTACATTCTGTGAAAGCACATTAAATCCTGGACATGTCTCCATGCAATTTAGGTGGGAATTGCATGACCTGGCATGCCACAGACATGATCCCCCTTCCTTCCTCCAAATAACCTGGCCACCAGTTTTACATTTTGCACAATTACAGGTATGAATGCAGAGTTCATAGCCTGCCATTGCAACATGCTGTTTTTGAGCCTTTGGCATGATTGTCTCTGTGTCTCGGTGAGGTATATGGTGCATTATGCATTCTAATCACCTCATGAAGTATGCATGATGTTTACATAAGCAATTGATGACCATGTAGAGTAAAGATCATTGATAGATTGGATGATCTACTCTCATCATTGCCACCCAATACTTTCCATCCTCTTTGGGCCCCATTAGCACATCCAGGATCAAATCTGTGCTGGAGAAGGATCATAGCAAGCAATTGGCTGCAGGGAAAGATTCTAGCTGGATGTTGCAAGTCAGCAATGACATGGGAGGCATAGTCATGGAGCTCCCAGGGCATTACTATGAGCATCTACAAGCATTCTTCTGGAGAGAGAAGGTGATAAGGCTGGTACTTGGGTTCAAGGAGGAGCATGAGGTTCAAGAGCCACTCAAGGAGAATCTGACCTTGATCCTTGTTTATATGGTACAGGATTTTCACTCAGGTGGTCAGGGAAGCCAAATCTATCAAGTGGGATGCTCATGCACCTGACTGGCACAGCCCCACATTTGACAATTATCTTCTGATCAAATATCATGTGAAGCATCATGAACCAGAGATGGTCAGGGAGTATAGGCAGAAGAATGCCTGCAATATCAATATGGAGAACATTGAAGATGTTGGTAAGTCTTTCCACTTGATTCTCCCATTCCAGCCATGGACTATCATATTGCATAGACTGGCATGAATGTGAGGACACCCTCAGTGAGATTTGGTATGGTAGTTCCACTGGGTTCAAAATGGAGGAGAAGAACATCATATCTGGAGACTGTGGAGGCCAGTGCATTGATACTGTTGTCCTCTAACCACTTCTTGGCCATTTTGGAGGTATGTTTTGGGTCATTGTCCTGTTGAAAGATAACATCCTTCAAAGGAATTCCAGAATCTCCCAAGCTAGGAAGCAACTGACTCTCCAAAATGTCCACATATTGGTTGACATCCATCCTCCCCTCAATCTCTGCAACGTGGGAAACACCTTCCCAGCCCATACATCACCATACCATAATGTTTCCTCCTCCATGCTTGACTGTTCCCTGTATTTCTCTTTCAATAAGCCCCTCTCCTGCCTGTTTCCACACCCAAACCTTCTCATCTGACCCAATCCTATTGATTTTGGTCTCATCTGACCAGATAACCCTTCTCCAGTCCTCCACAGTCCATTCTTTGTATTTCAGAGCAAAGGCTAATCACTTCTTCCTGTGAATTATAGAAAGGAGTGGTTTTTTCTTCTTTGTTACAGCCTTGAATCTGAGGACCCTTCTGACTGTTCGTGAGAAGACTGGATTGGAGATTATGGAATTGATGTTATTTGTAACCTCAACAGCATTGGTGGCCTTGCCTGTGGTGATTTGTGTAATAATAGCATGCTGAGAGGTGGATGAAAGCTTAGCAGGATGTCCAGAAGAAGGTTCTTGAGAACCCTGGAGACTGTAGGCTGGCTGATGACCATCCTGGAGGCAATAGTGTGAGCAGAATGACCATTACAGGCCAGAGAAATGATGTTTTCCTTCTGAGCAGAGGAGATGGGGTGCATAGTATAGTTAGGAAGCATTGACAGTGTAGACAGTGGTTAAATAGCTTGGACTGAAATGGTTGCTAAGATACAATAACCATAGCAACCATCTTTGATGATTTTTGAAATTGTTTTATGTGATATTGATTGGATTCTGATGGATCTAATACATAGTTACAAAATTGATTCAATGACATGGTGATTTAAATCAAGTATATTGCCATGGATACTAATTCAAATTACTTTTTTTTTTTTTGATGGATAACCCTGTGCAAATGGTTTATGATATCAACTTACACTTTGGTCTTATTTGTCTTTGTTCCTGATCAATTCAACAAACAACCCAAAATGTGTGAACATTGAATCAATTTTGGAAGTCACTGTATAAAGAGCACATGAAGAAGGCAGGGAAAGTGAAAATGCTCAAGAGGGACATACTGGGGTCCAGAGTATTTAAGCAGGTGAATAAGAAGGGGCCTCAGCTACCTGATGACAAGGAAGGTTAGGGTCCCTCCTTTGTAGATAGCTTTGAGTGCCCTGCAGTGTTTTCATTGCAATATACCATATTTCCATAGGCCACCCCACTATATATATGTATGTTTCCTTGACACAGGCATGCAATATGTTCAAAGTTAGGTTATTGTAGACAGTGAATTGGATTGGAATGGAAACCTGTAAAATGTCTCACTGAACTCATCCATAATTCTCTCAATATTGATGGGGCAATGTGCCCTGAAGTAGTTAACTGAGTTCTGATTGTGCTGACCAACAAGATATTCTGTGCAAAGGTATTCTTTGAAATTGGCCAGTTGGAAATGTTTGATATCTTGTCTTTTGATCAACATGCATGGGTGAATGAAAGCCTCAAGTACATTGCCCAGGAGGACAATGTTTCTCAAGAGATGTGGGCAGAACTCTGTGTACCTTCTTTGGTGGTCCTTCTTGAAACAGACATAGAGATCAATGAGGAGGTAATACCTCCAGAGTGTACATATGAGGGCATTATGATAGTTGGGGGGAATGAAGGTGCAATGTTCCATTATCTCATCATTGAGATTTGTGTATTTTATCTGGATTGTACCATTCACTAGCTCCTCTGATCAACAATAGATCTGTAGAATGTATTTCAGCTGAGTACTTGTGGGGAGTGATTGTTGCCAGTAGTGGTCAGACATGCTATGATGGAGGCTTAATTGAATTAATCAAATTGATCAATGAGGATTGGCACACCATACCATATACAATATTCTAAATAGGACTTATGGTGTAGGGTCAGGGTTACTCCTGATGCATTCATACAATCCCACTTCTGAGTCTGACAGACAATTGATGGAAATATGTATTGAGTACATTAATATATACATATGATATTTTTAACACCCTAGACTGCCAATAAAGAATGGTCCAATTCAGAGGGTGATGGTGTGGGGGACTTGACTTACACTTATGCTTATCTTTCAGCCTCTAAGAGGCTCTGCACTCATTCACAGTCCCTCCTGCTCATCCCTTGCCCTTATCACCTCCCTTGTGCTTGCCACTCACCCCACCACCATGATGACCTCCTCCATTGTTATCATCTCCCCCTCCCTGTGCCTTTGCCTTGCAGATGTTCTTTGTATGTGTATCCAACTGTTTGAAGTTAGAATCCAGTAGATGGGGAAAGACAATGTCACCATGCTTACAATCAGGGTCCTCATCCTCTACTGGATCATAGAAGTCCACCATCACATTGAACGGTCTCCTTGCCACATCCAGAGTCTTCATGTCACCTTCCATATTGAACTGAGACAGGCTCCTATACCACATCTCACCCAGGGAGTGCTCATGGAGAACCCGGTCTGTGGTATATGTATGTGAATAGCAGAAAAAAGATACAAGGAAATTGAAACACTTACCAACCTCTTCAATGCTGGTATGGTTGATGTTGTGGTCATTGTTGCATCTATAATGCCTCACCTGGGATGGTTCATGGTGCTTCATGAAATATTCTACCAACAGGTAGTTGTCATGTGTTGGACTGTGCCATTTGAGTGTGTGATCAGTATGGAATGTAAGTGGTGGGTAATCAACTTAGAAAGCATTGGTAGGGATAAATAAGCCAAAAAGTGAAGAATCAGTAAGCAAAGTCAAAAGATTGGTAAGTATTGGCAATAGGTGAGTCAAGGACAGTCAGAAACTGAGTAAGCACACTGGAATCACATTAGGGGGAGGCTGTGCATGTCACATCTCAAAGGAATCACTTCTAGGCAAAAGTGGGAGGCAGCACTGATCTGATGCTGAAATAGGACATCCAAAAGTGGATGGCAGGTGTCAGGTGTAAAAAGGGGTCAAGCTTTGGGGATCTGTGGGGTGACAGGAGCATAAGGGATTGCAACTTCCCCCCCAACTGTCCTCTCAGTGAAGCAAATAAAAACTTCATGAATGAAACTCTGTTGGAAGAGAGGATGAAGGGGGAGCATCTTCTGCTGTATCTTGCAACAAGAAGGCAAGATGTGCATCATACTCATCATGGATGCAATCAGGGAGAGTGGAGAACAATAGACCATACTGTAGCTGTTGCAATTTTGGAAGAATGATGGACAAGATTGGTATGAAGACATTGCAGGGAGCAGGGAGGAAGGATCTGTATGCTTCTTGGACTGGAGAGACTGAAACAACCACATAAGACCTTTCTAACCAAATGACAGACCTGAGGTGATGAAAGAACATCCTCCTGGAGGTCATACTGACTGTTACACTGTGCTCACATTTGTTTCCTTTTATAGACATTGCACCACACCACTTGTGCAGTCACTGCCTCAGAGTGATGTTCCCTCTACCCACAAGCCACTGCCTACACAGTTGGGCTTGCATTTTGTATGTTTCCTTTTGTATGTTTCCCCTGTTTACCCCACATTGTACTATAGCCAGACTATGTCTGTTTACCCTTCCTCCCATGATCTGCTGGTGGCCCTGACCCACATGGTCACATGATGTGTATACCCCTGTATGTCATATATGTGGTTCCCTTCCTTTGTCATATGTTCACCCCTGGTCCCTTCTGCTGTGGAGACTTGGTTGTATGTATAGTCCTGCTGTGCAGTGACTCACTATGACTTGGCTGCACCTTAATGGGAGTATGGGAGTATGTTCAGACATTTTCAAATGTTTGTTACACAGTACTTCACATATGTATACAAACCCACATGTATCATACTGCTACCTCATTCAAAATCTAATTTGCAACCACTCTTAACTCTGCTTGCTGTACCCATGAGGACTCAACAGTATGTCTTTGATTGGCCAAGACTAGTGTTCTGCCACTAGTGAAGTTAAATTATGTGTCACTTTTTGTGCAGTCATGTGCTTGTGCATCCACACTCAATTTGTGACATGATACAAGTCATCAGCATAACACTGACAGAAAGAACATGCTGTCCAAGCTGGATGGGCTGAGAGGGGGTGGACAAGGATGGGATGTACCAGGATGCTTCAGGACAGAAGCTAGTAGGAAATAAGCAGCCATCCATATTGGTCACTCCATCATGAAGTATCGACAAAGCTCTTTCTTGGCTTCATCCTTGAAGTGCTTCACAATGTAGTCAGGGATACACTTAGTTGCAGTTGGCTGGAGATTAGTGGGGACTAACATGGGGGTGTTGGCTGCAGGGGTATCATTGGTAGGGAAAATGGTTAAACAGATGTGCTTGGTTGGCCAGGTTGAGTTTTGAACAGGCCATTCCCCATCTGGAATGATGTGAATACAGTCAAACTCCTCACCTCTGGCAACTTCTCCCTGCCAGTTTGGCCAGTCCCCTGTCATCACAACATGAGCAGAAAACACTTTGTCATGTGGCATCTGTGACTGTGTGCTGCAGGTGGAAAACATCAGCTTCTGGGTGATGTGGGTTTTTGGTATGTTGTTCAATCTCATAAGATGTGAAGATCAACAATTGATTGAACAGGGATGTGGGAGGATAGCTAATATCCATTGACAGTGGATGATAGATGTTTGTCAATGGGGGATGATATGTGGTGTTTATCATGCTAACATTGTAACAATCAATTTGAGTGTCAAGTTCTGGGGGAAAATGGTGGCTGATCTCAAGACCATCATGACTTTCTTTGCCCTGGTCAGTCAATTCCAGATATCCCTGTGATAGAACATTCATTAGTTAGTGAATCAGTGGGTCTATGAAAGCCTACCTCATCTCTGAAGATTGGCCAATCCATGGTGGTGGGAGCAATGGAAGAAGGAAGAAATGGGATTGAGGCACATGAGATATAGTTTGATCATACATCAAATTGAGGGTAAATAGTACATTCAAAGCATTACATAGCCACATTTTGGAATAGGTGAACAGCAGAGCTACTGCAAGGCAATCAGCTAATGTTCATAAATAAAGTGTGCAGGTGTCACCTTTAGTCATTTCCAAGTCATCAGTCATGTGCTATCTACTAGACCCATAAAGCCATCCTTGTTGCTGTCCACACCCAACTCCATATATCTGTCACTGGCATCACAATCTGATGAGCCATCAAACTCACTTGACAAGTCATGAACATGGCATTGCACTTCCTCCTCAAGTTGATCAAGCTGGGTATTTGTAGTCTGAAATGTCATAGTATCCTCATTGTACAGTGGCTCAAAAAACTGACCACATGTTTGGACATTTTTCACTAAAGTCAATACTGCCCCATTACCCCCAACCTGGGCCCTAACCTATAAGTGTATGAGACAAAGTCCTTACTATTGGCTCTCTATTGGTGCAGGGGTCAATGGTTTTGGATAAGGTTTGATCAAATGGCAGCCATTTCAAAATGATGACTCATGCAGTCAGTTTTTGTTATGCTATGACCAAAGTTGAGGCATAGGTTGAGCTCAGTCACAGACTAATGGTTTCTACTGAGCAATGGCTGCAGTAACCTCTGTAAATGACAGAGGACTTAGGCAGTGCTGGTAAGAGTGGTCCAGGTTAGGGATGCTGAGGGCAAAGTTCTGAGAACACTGCATATGATTGAGAAACTCAAGTCTGGGAATTCCAGGACTTGAGCTGACAGGCTAAATACTACAAAAGAATGGACCATGAGGTGTCTGTGTGTAACAAGGTAACTATGCCATTGGTTGAACAACAATGACACATGTCTTCAGCATGTTATGAGGTATTAATGCTAGTGAAGGAAGTAGAGGGCTGTCAGATCAGAGAGAAGATGGCTCAAAAAGGAAAACAAGTCCAATGGAAGGGCAATGAGGTAAACACAAGGTAAACACATGGTGAAACAAAGGAAAATAGGGGTGAAACATAACATTACCCCTCCTCTAAGCATTGAAGTCCCTGACTTCAACTATTCTCTGTAAGGCTCTCTGGTCATGTTGCTGATGGTGGAGTCATCAAAGTCAAAATCATTATCATAAAAATTGTTATCCTTGCTCCTGATGAGGGTATGATTGCCTACCAATGCAGGGGTAGATATTCTTTCTTGTAAAGGGCAATGAGAGTGCATAGATGGACACTGGGCTTGGGTGTGCCCAGGATGAGTGGTGCGGCACAAGGGACATTCATAAAGGGCACAGTTGACCCTGATATGTCTGAGGCAGTGGCAGACATAACATGCTTGATGGTAGCATGGATCAGATGGGGTGAGAGGACAATCTGCCTCAGCAAGGGCATTGAGCATGGGGGAAGGTGGCAGTTGGGCCAGAGTTTCAACCTGATTCATAGTATAGGTGAGCTCAGCTTCAGTGATGCCAAAGGCAACCTTGGGGTTCACCACAGAGGGTGATGACAAGCCATGAGACTCACAGGGTTGTGGGTTTGGGCCTGAAAGACCACAGGCACAAGGTCTGTCCACTCTTCAAAGAGAGTTGGAGGAATGGGAGGATGACAACAATGATGCTGGAGGGGAGGATGATGTAGAGGAAATTGGGGGATATGTTGCAGTTGAGGGTCTTCAAGACCCAGGAGGAGGGGGGGGGCAATCAACATGGGGTGTTAATGAATGTTATATATGAGGTCTGCACCTCTAAGGATATCCAAAAGGCAAAGAAGCAGGGGAACCTGCTCATGGGCAATTTTGTTCAAGATAGCTCTGGCAGGGGACAGAAGGGGATTCTGTCAGTTCACATAGTGAGAAAGTTCTTCAAGCTGAAGGGCTTGGATGGTTGCATGATAGACAAGGTTGAGAGGAGAATCCTCATTGACTTCATGATAGATGGTGCCAACAACAGTGGGGTTGGTGATGAAGAGACAATAAGGGTTTATCATTTGGGAGCTAGCAGGTTGCTGTTGGCAGTGAGCAAAGGGGGTGTGGCAAGAAGAGGGTTTGCAAGGATAGGTGAAATGATGGGGAGGCATTTCAACAGAGATGGTCCTGATGGTGTGTGAAGAGCATCTGGCAGGTTGTTTCTGAGGGGGAAAATCCTTGGGGAAGTGTGCTTTATATGTGGAGAGGGTATCATCCACATGTTCAAGGTGTGACTCTTTCTGCCATGAGTTTTCAGAAGAAGGGTAACCTGGAACTCACCATGGTAGGGGTGAGCACACTCAAGACAAATCACAACAATAACAGAACATGGACAGGCATGTGTGGGATTATGATCAAGTGTATATGCTGATACAAGGCAGTTGAGAGAGAAGGAAAGAAAGAAGAGATGACCCCATGTCTACATGCAGCACTGGTATATATACCCCCAGGGTCCAAACAGTACAACACAGCAGGGATCTGCATGCCCAGATGAAGGATTGAGGATGCAACAGGAGATGTGATAGTGTGATGTGATACTGTGAGTGGCACATGAGTGTGAGTGGTGCATGTGAGTAGTGTGAGTAGGAGGGTGAGCATGCAACGAGCAAATCTTCTTCAACTTCTTCATCATCACTAATCCAACTCCAACCTCCCAAACCTCTAACCTCTAACCTCTAGCCCTCTACAGCAGATGCTCCCTTTCCCAAACATCCAATGCCTCACAATCCTCTAACTCCTTCTTCAT